GCGGGCTCCCTGCTGTCGTCACGGTAACAGCAGTGGCAGGACAGGCGCCTGCTCAGCCGGAAGGGCCAGCGCGCCGCCCAGGCCTGGCCAGCCGCTGGCCGCTGCTCGCGCCCGTCTTCAGAAACCCCCTCTGTCCGGGCTCCTGTGCTGCCCATGAAGAGAACGCCCAGGGCCGGCGCCGGCCTGCCGTCCAGGGTGTGCCCGTCAGGCGCCGCGCTGGCGCCTGGGCGCACGGGCATCCTTTACGCATCGTGGCCTGCAGTGACCTTCTTTTGCCTTTCAATGCTAAGGCCTTCTCCTAGTGTTTAGTAAATAGTGTCACAGCTTGCTTTCAAGCTGCTATGGTTTGTGCCTTCTTCCGTCTCAGCTGTGACCCCCGGGGCTTCCCACCGCATCACCTGGGCCACCGCCTGCAGCCCTCAGCTTTGACCGTGTCTGGGTGGTCGGCGGCCCACGCCAGTACGCAGCCCCGCCGTCACCCAGACCCAGAAGCGTCTCTGGCAGTCCCGTGCGGTAGGTGTGTGCTGACGCTGCATCGGCTGTCAGAGAAACGGGCCTGCTGCCGCAGGGTCAAGTCTCGGCGCTGTTCTGCTCCCCGCCTTGTCTCTGGGACCCCGCGCCTCTGGCCAGTACCCCAGCTCTTAAATGCATACGCAAATAAACCTTTTTTAAAAGATTATGTACACAGAACTGGGGTACAGGCCAGAGGGGCAGGGGGTGAGTGCTCCCCAGGGGCGGATCCCCTCAACCCGTTGCTGAGAGGGCAGCGGGGAGACAGGAGGGGGCTGCTGCGCCCTGGGGTCCCTCCCAGGCCGGGGTGGACTCCCGCTGAAGCAGCTGCGGCCTCCTGCGGTGCTGCCCTGTGACCTGCTGCGCCCCCAGGGAGGGCCCCAGTGTTTATCTTTTACCCTCCGACCGCCCTTTCATCCCCCGCCTTCAGCTCCCTCCACGTGCTGCACGGCCCGGTCTGTGGTCTGATTTTGAGGGGCCCGTCGTCCGCGAGGGCCAGTAGCGCGATCGTACACTTTTAAATCTACAGCGCTGTGGGTAACGGGAACCCGCGTTTAATCTCTGCATTAGGAGTCTGTTCTGCGTGGCCACTGATGGAGACGGACCAGTTCGTAGCCACAGGTAGAAGGCAGCTCGCACAGGAAGGGGGCTCGTGGGGTGGGTCCGAGCAGCCAGGCGGGTGTCCGGCGCGGGCTTCCTGCCTCCGCCCACTTCCTTTCGGAGCGGCGACCGGACTGGGACCCACACAGGACGCCGCCTCTGGCCCATTTTCCGATTGTGTTCTTGCCCAATGGCGCCGGCGGCGCCGGGTCTCTGCGCTCCCGATGAAGAAACGTGACACGGAACTCGTGGCTGCCCTTCAGTTATTTTTATTCGACCCAATACATTTCACAAATCTTTGCTGGGAAACTGTCACTGCAAACGGACCATCGGTTGGCAAGAAGTGACCAGTTAAGCAGGTAAGACAAGCACACAAATAAACAAACCATTCAGGATACGTGAGCGACGCGGAGTCAAAAACACACCATGAAATGATGGCGCACCCCCAGTAAGCTCAGCCGGGGTGAGCGCCTTGTGGCACAGCACAGGCTTTCCGGTCTCCTTGTGCCTTATCACGCAAGTAGTACGTCATCGCTGGAGACTGCAGGGTCCAGAAAGCACAAGGAAGGAATAAAAATCGGCTTTCTCACCCACACAGAGCCAGGAAATTCATGACTTCCTTCGTGAAGCTGCCTTCCGAGGCCACGGAAAAGCTCTGAAGGCCTCGTGGGGGGCAGAGGGCAGGCGCGCCCCTGCGCGGCACGGGCCGGGCCCCCGAGGAAGCTCCGACAGGCCCACCCCCGGCAGGAAGTCAGAGGGGCAGAAACAGTCGGGGAGATCCCGACTGCGGTTCTGGACATGCTGAGAGTTGAGGTGCTGCTGTCCAGCGCCTGGGCACAGGCGAGAGCCAGAGGCAGGGCCCGCGGAGCGCCTGCATGCGCGGGGGGTGGAAGCGCAGAGCAGACGCACTGGGAGAGCAGGTGCAGGAAAAGGCAGAAGCAGAGGCCGAGAGGCGCCTGGCGCGCGCCCGGGCGCAGGGGGTCTCGCCTCCGCCCCGCAGCCCGAGTCCACCCGGGCCAGGGGGTGACCCCAGGGCGCTGCAGACTCCTCCTGACCCACGCTGCCCCTCAGCAGGGGATCCGCCTGTTCTGATCGCGTCTCCTCTCACCCCCATGTCTCTGGCCTGGGGAAGACGTGAAACAAGCAGAAAACAGGTGCGCTGAAGGTGAGAGCCGCAGAGCAGGCGCGGGGTGCGCGGCCAGGAGCCGTGCCGCTCCAGTGGGCCCACGGGGCTCCTGTCTGCAAACTCAGAATGATGCCACCTGTTCACCCCGCACGGACAGGAGCAAGCCGGAGAGGAGGCAGAAGGCGTCTCGGCATGAGATCCGGTGCAGGGCCTGGGTGGGCCGGCGCATGGCGCCCGGGTTCACTCGGGGAAGCTTCCAGTTTCCACAACCGCGACAGCGTCAGGTGCCTCCACAGAGCAGGTTTATTAGAAAAGGGACGGAAGGGCACTTGGGTACAGCGGGCAGGGAGCGCTGCCGGGAGCCAGCCACCAGGCTGCTGAGGGCCCGGGGAGAAGCCCAGCAGGCGCGGTGGGGGGCAGGAGGCCGCTGCCCCAGAGGGGATGGGGGCACCTGCCGGCCGTGGGCAGTGGGCAGAGGGCAGAGGGCCGGGCGGCTTCCCCTCCTCTGGGTGGGCGGTGGCCCCGCCCCTACCTCGCCCTCGGGTCTGGGCCCGCCCGCGGCCGTCTGACACCTGCCCGCTGCGGCGCCCCTGCCGGTGCCAGGGCGGGTCTGGTCTCCTCACGTCGCCGGCCTCCGGCCGCCCGCCCCAGCCCTTCCGTGCTCACCCGCCGTCCAAACGTACAAACGTCACCTGCCACAGTTTCCCGAG